GAGAGACCCGCCCGCCAGCGGCCGCGCGACCCGAGGCCCGCCTCCCGGCACCAGAGGCAGAGGAGAGCCCGCCCGCCGGCACCTCAGACAGCCCCTGGCCGGTCCTCCAGCCTTCCACCGAGAGGAAGGAGAGAGCGTCCCCGGAAACCACCGACACTGTCGGCTAGAGCGACCCGTGCGCGCAGCCCTTCCGCGTCCGCCTCAATGGTGCTGTACTTTGGAGAAGGGTCGGCTGGCTGGCCCCGAGCTTAGGCTGCTGGTCTCCGGAGGATAACATTTGGAGCTTCTAAATTAGCACTGACCCTGAGGTTAGTGAAAAACGCCGCCGGAATGTGGAGGCCCTGACTCAGGGCCAAGAAGCGAAGTCCGGAACAGGAACTCGCATGAAGGGAAAGGAGCCAGGCGCCTTGGAAACGCTTTTCAAGGAAGTCAACTAATGTAGTAGTCAACTAATGTACTCCAAAGACGGGTAGATAAGTAAAATAGCCTCCTCTGCGACAACGTGGCAAGAGGGACAAAGACTTAGGTACTAAAGCGTTGGAGAAATACATGAATAATGGCAGGAAGAACTTGTGATAGGGAGGTAATTTATAAATCAGCTCCATCCTTTTCTGCTTGTGTCCCATTTGTCACGGAGTAGAAATTTAATATGGTTCTCAAGGGAACGTAACTTCTCCTAATTGAAACACCCTGTTGAAAAGCTTTACTTCCTGGCTTCTAAATTGAAGTTTATGGCTAGGGAATGATACTTTGTACTCCCACGGAGCCATGGACCGTGGTTATTTGTATCTATGACAGATTGCAAGTCATTTGCACACTTTTTTTTTTTAAGAGGTCTCACTCTCTGGACCAAGTTTGTTTGGTATACATTATGTAGCCCCGGTGGGCCTTGGTTACAAATGTGCGTCCCCATACCTAGATAAATAGGTAAATCCAGTCTTTAAAGATTATTGAAACCACATATAATCCCATAAAAGTAAACAGAATATAGAGGAAAATGACTTTTCTTTTTGAGACAGGGTCTCACGTAGCCAGGCTGGCACTGAACTCAATGTGTAACGTTGAACCCCTGACCCTCCTACCTTCACCTCTCAAGCTATAACTACAGGCATGCACCACCATACCTGACTTTAGAAAATACATTTGATGTTTAGTTTCCACCAGAGTCTCACTGACCAACACGGGCTGGCTTTGAACTCACTTTGTACCCCAGGTTGGCCTGGAACTATTGATCCTTTCGTTTCTGTCTCCTGAGTGCTAGAATTGCATACAGTGTACACCATCATACCCAGCCATATCAATTGTTTCTACTACTACACATTCTAAGTAATGTTTTGCTAATTATAGTGTGCAAAGTCATTTTAAATATTGGCGTAGTGCATACTCATTTAATTTACTGACAGATGCTGGACTGTTTTAGTATACAGAGCCAGTATTATGAAGAGAACAAATGGCATGTTTTTTTATTATTATTTCCATGGAATAAAGGATCCAAAATTAAAGTATTAAAGCAAATATATGCAAGATTTTAAGGTTTTGGTGTGCATTGTCAAGTTGCCTTCTAGAAAAAAAAAATATGTGAATTTATATCGTTGTTCTTTCCTAGTTCTGAGGCTCCAGGCACAATGACTCAAGCAGAAATTAAACTTTGCTCTTTATTGCTGCAAGAGCATTTTGGTGAGATTGTGGAAAAAATTGGAGTCCACCTAATCAGAACTGGCAGCCAGCCTCTTAGAATAATTGTCCGTGACACAAAAACATCCCTGGACCAGGTATGTTTAGATAATACCAGTTTGCTCTCTTTTGCTTCTTTAGTTCATTTCCTTCAGCCACCTTTTAACAGTGGTACTCCTTCCCCTAGAAAATAAAAATAAAGAAGCCTGCCCTATGATCAGAACCACCATGGGGTGGGGTGGGGGTGTGGAATTGTACTTAGGCCCCAGCGTGCTGCTCCTCAGAGTGTCCTTAGCTCGTCTTTGCTGTCTCCATGCCATACTCATTCATTCACAGTAAGTCTGCTAATCTGGCACTGCCTTTGAGGAATAAAAATGATAGGCAAAACAGGTCAGTTGTGACGTGAAAGATTTTTGTTGTAGTCCTGACTGAGGAGGTAGCTCAGTTGGGGGAGTGACTTCATAGCATGTAGAATGTTCTGGTTTGATCTCCAACACTTCATAAAACTGGGTGTGGTGATTTCTGTTTATGATCCCAGCACTTGAAAGGTGAAAGCTCGAAGTTCAAGGTCATTCTCAGCTACGGAACAAGTATAGGGCTACCTTGGGCTCCGTGAGACCCTGATTCAAAATGGAAAACTAGAAGAAAGACAGATCAAGGATATTCTCTTGATCTCTTCCACTGACATTTGATTCTTATTAACTACACTAATACAAAGAGGAAGTAAGAGCCTATGTGCAGTCAAGTCAAATTCAGTCCCTGTCCTGTCATGGCGGGAACTGGCCCAGGTGGCTGCCACAACAAGTTCTGCTGTTCATGGGCCCTGGGTCCCCTGCCCTGGGACCTGGGGATAAGTTTGGCTGCAGACATTGTACTCTAGGCACAGGAGTCCTTGGTGCAGACAAGAGGCAGGTCCTGTTGGGATGGGTCTGTGTTGTTTCAACTCAGACCCAGTTTAAAAATAAGTGCAAAAAGATTCAGAAAACTCTTGGCTAGTGATCGGATGCTTCCTAAGCTGTCGGGGGTGGGCAGTATTGCCATCAGTCATGAGCCACGTAGCTCCAGGTCTTTCTTCTCTTTCTTTGGGTCCCATCTAGGTGAAAAAAGCCCTTTGTGTCCTCATCCACCATAACCTGGTGATCTATCGTGTGCATAAGCGCAGTGTGGTGGAATATGAAGCCCAGTGTAGCCGGGTGTTGCGAATGCTTCGGTATCCCCGGTACATCTATACTACCAAAACGCTGTACAGTGACACCGGCGAGCTGATTGTTGAGGAGCTCCTGTTGAATGGCAAAATGACAATGTCGGCTGTGGTGAAGAAAGTAGCAGACCGACTCACGGAGACCATGGAGGGTCAGTACTGGGTCTACAGCTCTGAGCGAAAGCCTAGGTTGGCTGGCAACGCTGTTCTCTTAGGCCCTCTCACCTGCCTCTTTCCTCCTGTCGTACAGATGGCAAGACCATGGACTACGCTGAGGTATCAAATGCATTTATGCGACTGGCAGACACACACTTTGTACAGCGCTGTCCTCTGGTTCCTGCCCCTGGCAGTTCTGACCCTGAGCCACCACCACTTGCCCCGACCCTTGTCATTAATGAAAGGGACATGTACCTAGTTCCTAAACTGAACTTGATAGGTAAGGAATTTTCATCCTTGAACTGTGTTTTGCCCTAATTGTGGATTCTTCTTGACTGATTTTTTTTTATGTGAATGAACATGTGATTGTTGACCAGGTACTTGCTGTGTGCCAGTCACTGTAGTTTGTAATATGGAAATAATGGAAAACCCGTGTTCCCTTCCTAGAAGACATTATCAGTCACAGAGATAGGTTATACACCATGATAAGGGCTGTGGAGAAGTTAGGTATGGAGGAACTGATTTGTGAAGTGAGTGAAGGCTTATGCTTTTCTAAGAAAGTGAAATTTGATCTGGATCTTGATGAAGAAGTAAGCGATAGAAGATGATTTTAGTTTGGTTTTTGTTTAGTTTGGTTTGGTTTGGTTTTTCGAGACAGGGTTTCTCTCTGTCGCTTTGCAGCCTGTCCTGGAACTGTTTCTGTAGACCAGGCTAGCCTCAAACTCAGAGAGATCCACCTGCCTCTGCCTCTGCCTCCCAAGTGCTGGGATTAAAGGTGTGTGTCACCACCACCCAGCAAAGATGAGGTTTTTTTTTTTTTTTTTTTTTGGGGGGGGGGGGGGGGGGGGTGTTTTGTTTGTTTGTTTGTTTTGGGGTTTTTTGTTTGGGTTTATTTTCTTTTCTTTTTTGGTTTTTTTTCAAGATAAGGTTTCTCTGTAGCTTTGGGAACCTGTCCTAGAACTAGCTCTTGTAGACCAGGCTGGCCTCAAACTCACAGAGATCCACTTGCCCCTGCCTCCAAAGTACTAGTATTAAAGGTGTGTGTCTCCACTGCCTAGCCAAGATGAGTATTTTTAAGACTAGTGTATAATAAGAAAAAGAAACTGAGCATTAAAGAAAGTGAAAGGTCATTGTTGAAGCAAAGCGAGCAAAGTTCAGAGAAACTTGAAAGAAGGCGAGAACATGGAGGAACTAGATAAACACGGCATTGTAGAGTATCTGTTCTTTAACCTAAGAGCAAAGGGAGACTACTCAGGTTTTAAGCAGGAACGTGACATGATCTGACTTACATTGTAAACTGTCTCATAAAGGCTGAAAGGATAGGGCAAAGGTAAGTGAGACAGACTAACGAGAAAGTAGATATAGAAGCTGTAAGAAGACAAGTATTGCTGGGCAGTGGTGGCACATGCCCTTAATTCCAGCACCCAGGAAACAGAGGCAGGCGAATCTCTGTGTGGTCAAGGCCAGTTCCAGGACAGCCAGGGTTGTTACACAAAGAAACCCTGTCTCCAAAAACAAAAATAAGAAAAGTATCAAGAATGACGTCTGTGTGTCTGACCTGCACCCATGGGATCGTAATGGTGCCTTTCACTGAAAGGACACATAGGAGGGCAGGCAGTTTGATGGCGAGGGCTATGCTTTTTATTCCTTCCTTCCTTCCTTCCTTCCTTTCTTCCTTTTTTCTTTATTTTTTCTTTGAATAATTTATTTTTATTTTATATGCATTGATGTTTTACCTGCATGTGTGTCTGTGTGAGGGTGTCGGATCCCCTGGAACAGAAGTTAGATGCAAACAATCGTGAGCTCCTGTGTGGGAACTGAGAAACCCAGATTTTCTGAAACAACAGCCAGTGCTCTTAAGCACTGAGCCATTTCTCTAGCCCCAGGATTTTTTCCTGATTTTTTATTTTATTTTCTTTGGTTTTGGTTTTTGGCTTTTGGTTTTTTTTTCCCCCCTCAGTTTTTCAAGAGAAGTTCTCACTATGTAGCTCCAGCTATCATAGAACTCACTTTGTAGACCAGGCTGGCCTGGAACTCACTCTGTAGACCAGGCTGGCCTGAAACTCAGAGATCCACCTGCCTCTGCCTCCCCAATACTGGGATTACCCAACTTTAAGACTGGATTTTTTAAAACATCCTGAGTTTTAGATGATACCCTCATTGATTTGAGTTTCTTACAGCTCCTTGGTCTCCTAAACAGCTCTAACTTGAGGCAGCTACATACGTCTCTGGGATAAAAGGCACTGGCTTCATTTCTTGTCATCACATGATATATAATCTAATCGTGCAGTATTTTATTTGGCAGGAAAAGGTAAGAGAAGGAGATCATCTGATGAAGATGCTGCTGGAGAGCCCAAGGCCAAGAAACCAAAATGCCCAGATGACAAAGAGGTAATAATGGGGCTTTCTGATTAGTGGTCCTCACCCTGGAGCCACCCAGAAACAGCCCTTGGATAACAAGCGCCAACAGAACCTAAATGTTTCTGGCTAAGAAGGAATAGGATTATGAGCTTCAGTAAATGTTGGTCAGGAATAGACCAATGGAAATGGAATTCTATTACCTCCTCTGCTTATTTCTACCCTGCCCTCTTTTTACCAAGGAACAGTGAGAACGCCTGAGAGCGGGAGGGACTTCGTGGAAGAAATGTCCCATTCCCTTCTGAGGCTAACTTATTTCACTGTAAAATGGGACCAACTTACACAAAAGAGGAAGCAGGGCTAGTGTGGTATTGCATCCCTTTAGCCCCAGCACTTGGGATGCAGAGCCAGGAAGATCTCTGTGAGTTCAAGGCCAGCCTGGTCTACATAGTGAGTTCCAGAGCAGTCAAGGCTACCCAGGGAGACCTTGTCTCAAAAAGAGAAGAGAGACTTTGGCCAGGAATGCAGCCCAACTGTTAGTTAGCTTGCCTGGCATGAGTGAGGTCTGAATTTGATTCCCCAGTACCAAATAAAACCAGAAGTGGTCCCCATTGTGATAACCCACGCCTTTAATCACAGCACTTGGAGGAGAGACCAGCAGATCTCTGTGAATTAGAAGCCAGTCTGGTCAACATAATAAGTTCCAGAACAGCCAGAGCTACACAGTGAGACCCTGTCTCAAACAAAACAAACCATAAGTGGGTGATGCACAACTATAATTCCAGCACTCAGAAGGTAGAGGCAAGAGAATCAGAAGTTTAGGGTTATCCTTGGCTACAAAGTAAGTCTAAGGCCATCCTGGGTTACATGAAACCCTACCCCCACCAAAAAGAAAAAAGAAAGAAACTTAGATAAAGTTCAAGATTTCAGTATGGCAGGAACACATAGACCTATGAGGATTAGTGGTGAGGCCTAAGTCTAGAAAAATGTGTTTAAGCCTGAACTGTTATGTGCACCCCTATAAAGATGGCTAATGAACATCTCAAACCAAGTATGGTGGTGCATGCTTTGTATCCCAGTACTAGAGAGACTGATACAGGAGGATTGCTGCAAATTCAAGACCAGCCTATTACATAAGAAGACCCTATTTTTAAACAAATTAAAATAAAATAAAATAAAAAAGCATTTCAAAAACATGGCCAGGAGCTGGGGCAATAATTCGGAAGGTAAATCAGCTGCTGCACAGGCATGAGAAACTAGAACCCACTTAGAGCCAGGTGTGGTAGCTCACATCTCTAATCCAGGTGTTCCTGAGATGAGACAGGAGCCAGTGAATCTCCTGAAGCTCACAGGCCAGCTGTCCTGCTATATAAAGAATCAAAGAGACCCTGTCTCAGAGCAAGATAGAATTTGAAGACTGACCCCTGAAGTTGTTCTTTGCTCTCCACACACACGCTATGGCACACATAGTACCATACATGCATACACACACCGTCCACCCATACCTAGATGTAGAATTAATCACATATACTCCCAACAGAAAAAGAAATTAGCATAACCAACACAGAATAATTGATTTCCCATTCCCATATACCTGCCCCTCCTAAGCCTCCTTTTGTTTTTAAATAACAGATACTACCATAAGTTTAGGCAAATCCTTGAAATTCTTATATCTCACTAATACATATCAGCCCAATTTCCAAAATTTTCTTTTATCCAGCTAATTCTTACCTTTGCTGTTCTCTCCCTAGTCTAAGCGACTATATTATCTCTTTGTGTGTGTTTAGAGGGGGATTATATGTACATGTGTTGGTACACATGCCTGTGCAGATACACACTGGAGCCACAGGAGAGCATCAGATGGTCTCTAGCAATCCCTACTTATCCTTTGAGGCATGTTCTCTCCCTGAACCTGGGTCTTGTGGGTTCGTTGTTGTTTGTTTGTTTTTCTTGACCCCAACAACCCTTTGCTCTTACAGTGCTGAAATTACAGGCATGTATGAGATCACGTCTGACTTGTTATGTGGGTGCTGGGGTTCAAACTCAGGTACTAATGGTTGTACAACAAATGCTTTTATCTACTGAGCCATCTCCCTAGCCCCCAAGACTATCATCTCTTGTCAGCACTTCTCCAGACTCTTCCCAGTGTTCTCCCTCCTTGCATTCTTACCCATTTAATGACCAGAAGTACTTTTTAGCTAGGTGTAGTGGTAAATGCCTGTAATCCTAGCACTTGGGAGATAGAGGCAAGAAGATCTAGAGTTCATGGTCACCCTCAGTTATGTAGTAAGTTCAGTGCTAGCCTGAGCTACATGAGACCCTGGCTAAAAAAAAGAAGAAAAAAGCCAAGCTAAGGGCTATTAAAAGCTACAAATTTGATCTACAAATGTTAGTCTTCAGGCTATGGATATGGCCCAACCCAAAATCACAGGAAGGTCCCTGGGGCTCACTAGCCATCCTGGCCTACTTGGTAAGTTCAAACTTCAGGAGAGACACTATCTCAGAAAACAACAAAAGTAGATGTCTATGGTCTAGAAAGATCTTCACTGTTAAGAGCACCTCCTATTCTTCCAGAAGACCAGAACTAGATTCCTAACACCTGTGTCTGTAATTCATCACCTTCTGGCCACCTTGGACCCCCACACACATGCGGCAGACGCACATAGAAAGAAATCTTGAGGGGCTGGAGAGATAGTTCAGCAGTTAAGCGCACTTGCCTTTGCAGAGGACCCAGGTTTGGTTCCTATCACCCACATGATAGCTTAAAACTATCTGTAACTCCAGTCCCAGGGGATCTAATATCCACTTCTGGAGTACACAGACACCAAGCATGCACTTGCTACAGATACATACATGTATGTTTGAGGGTAATGGACAAGAATTAACAGGAAACAAGAGGAAAGTGAGTTCGGGAACTTGAGTTAGAATTTACCAGGGCACACTAACCCATACTCTTGAATTCTTTTTCTCTAACCCATTTATTTGCCACAGTATATCAAAACAAATGGAACTTTAAAAATCTAAAATCTTTTTTTTGGGGGGGGGGAGTTTTTTTATTATATTTAATGAGCTCTACATTTTTCTCTGCTCCCCTCCCTACCTCTCCACCTCCCCTCTTCAATCCTCCCCAAAGGTCCCCATGCTCCCAATTTACTCAGGAGATCTTGTCTTTTTCTGCTTTCTACTTCCCATGTAGATTAGATCTATGTGAGTCTCTCTTAGTGTCCATATTGTTGTCTAAGTTCTCTGGGGTTGTGGCTTATAGGCTGACTTTCTTTGCTTTATGGTTAAAAACCACCTATGAGTGAGTACATGTGATAATTGTCTTCCTGTGTCTGGGTTACCTCACTCAAAATAATGTTCTCTAGCTCCATCCATTTTCCTGCAAAATTCAAGCTGTTGTTATTTTTTTCTGCTGTGTAATACTCCATTGTGTAAATGTACCACATTTTTTTTATCCATTCTTTGATCGAGGGGCATTTAGGTTGCTTCCAGGTTCAGGTTATGAGTTTTGTGCATGGTGATATATATGGGTCTATTTTCATTTTTCTACATGTTGATATCCAGTTATGCCAGCATCACTTATTAAATATGCTTTCTTTTTTCCATTTGATATTTTTTACTTCTTTATCAAATATCAGGTGTTCAAAGATGTGTGGATTGATATCTGGGTCTTCTATTCAGTTCCATTGGTCCTTCTGTCTGTTCTTATGCCAATACCAGGCTGTTTTCAGTACTGTAATTCTGTAGTAGAGTTTGAAGTCAAGGATTGTGATGCCTCCAGAAGTTCTTTTATTGCCCAGGATTGTTTTGGCTACCCTGGGTTTTTTACTTCTCCAAATGAAGTTGAGTACCGTTCTTTCGAGGTCTTTGAAGAATTTTGCTAGGATTTTGATGGGCATTGTGTTGAATCTGTAAATTGCGTTTGGTAAGATTGCCATTTTTACTATATTGATTCTGCTTACCCAAGAGCATGGGAGGTCTTTCCACTTTCTGGTATTTTCTTCAATTTCTTTCTTCAAAGATTTAAAGTTCTTGTCATACAAGTCTTCCACTCTTTTTATTAGAGTTACTCCAAGATATTTTATGCTATTTGTGGCTATTGTGAAGGGTGTTGATTCTCTGATTTCTTCCTCAGCCCTTTTATCATCTGTGTACAGGAGGGCTACTGATTTTTTTTTAATTAATCTTGTGTCCTGCTACATTGCTGAAAGTATTTATGAGTTGTAGAAGTTCCTTGGTAGAATTTTCGGGATCATTTATGTAAACTATCATATCATCAGCAAACAGTGAGCGTTCAATTCTTCTTTTTCAATTTGTATCCCCTTGATTTTCTTTTTGTGTCTTATTGCTCTAGCTAGGACCTCAAGAACTATATTGAATAGATATGGAGAGCGTGGACAATCTTGTTCCTGATTTCAGTGGAATCGCTGGGAGTTTCTCTCCATTTATTTTGATGTTGCTGTTGGCTTGCTGTATATTGCCTTAATTATGTTTAGGTATGTTCCTTGTATCCCTGCTCTTTCCAAGACCTTTATAATGAAGGGATGTTGTATTTTGTCAAATGCTTTTTTGGCATCTAATGAGATGATCATGTGGTTTTTATTTTTCAACTTGTTTATATGGTGAATTACGTTGACAGATTTTCGTATGTTGAACCATCCCTGCATCTGTGGGATAAAGCCGACTTGGTCATGGTGGATGATGGTTCTGATGTGTTCTTGGATTCAATTTGCTAATATTTTATTTAGTATTTTTGCATCAATGTTCATGAGTGAGATTGGTCTGTAATTCTCTTTCTTAGTATTGTCTTTCTGTGGTTTGGGTATCAGGGTAATTGTAGCCTTATAAAAAGAGTTTGACAATGTTCCCTCTGTTTCTATTGTGTGGAATAATTTGAGGAGTATTGGTATTAGTTCTCTTTGAAAGTTCTGTAGAATTCTGAGCTGAAACCATCTGGTCTTGGGCTTTTTTTGGTTGGGAGGCTTTTGATGACAGTTTCTATTTCTTCAGCAGTTATAGGTCTGTTTAATTTGCTTGTGTGGTCTTGATTTAATTTTGGTAAGTGATATTTATCCAGAAAGTTGTCCATTTCCTTTAATTTTTTTTC